CTTTCACTCTCATGGCCAAGCAGTCCTGACTCAAGGAAAACCAGAAGCAAAAATCCTGAGTCTCATAATTCCTCAAGGAGAGGAATGGCACCTGTACAGCCTCACAGGAAGCAACAGCAGGAAACTGAGCTCCCCTTCAAGGTATCTGGGGTATGGGCTGAGGACAAACCTCCTAGCTTGGCTTGAAAAATACCCCCAAAAATAGTAGAACTGAAACCTGGGGCCAAACCCATCTGTCAGAGGTAATATTTAATCCCTTACAAGGCACAGGTGGGGATCTAAAAGCACTTGGACAGGCTTTTCAAGTATGGAATTCTTCAACTTTACCAATCCCCGTGAGACACACCTCTCTTGCCAGTCCAGAAACCAGGAATCCATGACTATTTGCCAGTTCTGTATTTGCAGACAGTGAAATAAGCCACTGTCACCTTACACCCAACTGTCCCAAACTCTTACATCCTCCTGGGTCTCATTCCAGCCAAAGTTGCCTCCTTTGCCTGTCTGGACCTTAAGGATGTCTTCTTTTGAATCTGCCTGGTCCCTCAGAGTCAACCAATTTTTGCCTTCCAATGGGGAAAATCCTGAAAATAGTGAAAAGGCCTACTGACCTAGACTCAGTTAACCACAGGGTTTCAAATATTCCCAGACCATTTTGGCCTGTGTTAGCCTGACTTAAAAGCCTTTCCAGTAGAACGACATGACTGTACATTACTCCAGCACGTGGATGACCTGCTCGTGGCTGGTGATCGCTGGAAGGTTGTATGGAAAACACATGGCGGCTCCTCACTCCCGTATGGGAGGCTGGCTACAATGTCTTAAGGAAAAAAAGTCCAAATATGCCAAAAGAAGGTCGAATATCTTGGCTTTCACCTATCTCAAGGACAGTGCCAACTCAGTCCAGAGAGAAAACAAGCTGTTTGATCGATTCCAGTTACATCCACCCAAAGTCACATTTAGGAGTTCCTCAGTGCTGCAAGTTTTTGTAGGATCTGGATATCGAATTTCTCCCTCATGGCAAAACACCTTAATGAAGTCACAAAATGGGGAGAGTGAGAGTTTCACGTATGGGGACAGAAGCAACAGAAGGCATTTGTGGAGATTAAGCAAGCTCTCATCAATGTACTTGACCTGTGGCTCTCAAACATGCCCAAGCCTTTCTTTTTGTATTTACATGAATGTACTGATGTCATGGTAGGGGTCTTAACCCACATGTTGGGGTCATGGCATCGTCCAGTGGCATAGATTTTTCTTGACACTTGACTCTATTGCACAAGGCTGGCCACCCTGTCTATGGGCATGCATAGTTTTAGAAGCTGACAAATCGACTTTGGAACAAGAATTAACAGTCTGAGTGCCTTAGTCAGTACTGACATTAACGGAATATAAGGGAGCGTACTGGCTAGCTAATGCCCACATGACTAATGTTCAGAGAATGCTACATGATAACCCACATATTCATTAAGAAGTAAAATGTGGACCCTAAACTCTGCAACCCCACTGCCTCTCAGGCCAGGTCACCCAGATCATGACTGTGTCGAAGTAATGGACAAAGTATTCTCCAACCGACAGATTTTAATGGATCAGCCCCTTCAGGACCCCGACACTGGATGTTTCACAGACAGAAGCAGTTTTATAAAGGATAGAGAATGCCTGGCACATTAAAAGATGGGAGTCTGCCCACCAGGGAAAAATACTAACTATAATACGGTTCTTAAAAACTCTTCCTCCTTCAACAATGAAAAAACAAGTCATGATTTGACATCCTCTCTGACTTAACTTTTTTTTTTTTTTTAAGGGTTTTGCCATTGGGCATGGGTACTCACCAGAGAGAGAAAAAGAGAGGGAAAGTGAGAAATCACCCCATGGGGAGAGGGCCAGGTCACAATCCCTTCTCCTGGAGAGAAAAAGAGAGGGAAAGTGAGAAATCACCCCATGGGGAGAGGGCCAGGTCCAATCCCTTCTCCTGCAGTATCATCTTGGGATATTGGGTTGGTCCCCATGAGCCTTTGCTGGAAATGCTTCTGTTTCCCAAAACAAGCGCCATATTTATATTTGTTTATTTTATGTGTAATAAAATAATATTGGGTCGTCGTACAAGTCATGCCATACTTTTGCATAGAAAAACACGTCATGACTTTTCCGACGACCCAATGTATAATATATGATAACATATAATATACTTCTCCTTTAGACATTTGGAGACACCATTCAGTTCTTAGATTCTCAGACCACAGTCCATGTCTTGACTTTTGTTGTACTGCTGAGCTTCGTGGTGAAGGACACACCATTCCTAATCCCACAGGTGGATAACTAGTTGGTATCAAGGGAGACCAAGAACCTTGAAATGATTTCACTCTCATCTCGTGTAATAGTCTCATCTGACACAATATATTTGCTTTCTTAGATGCAAACATTCTGTTCTTCTCCTTTGACTCTTCTATTATTTCCATTTCTCTACCTATTCTTTCCTTATATGTCTCTCTCTACCAACTGACTTCTTTAATAATTTTAAAGATTCAACAATGAGTAGTGCCTTGTTATTTTCAATTCATTTATATAAACCATTATCTCATTTACTCTTCACAACAAGTTCACTGGAGAAAGGCAGATATCTCAATTTTGTATCAATCTGTATTTTTTTTTTCACTTCTCTCCCTATCCAGTTTGGAAATCAGTCTATTCTTTTTATAACAATTTGACAATGCCCTCAGCTTTTTTGTCCTTTTCTATTTTTATTACCATCCTCTAAAAAACCCCTAACTCAAATGAAATAAAATAGGTGCTTTCTCTGGGTCCATATCTGAGCAGCCACACCTTGTTGAAGCAATTGTTTGTATTAAAAATTTGGTTTCTTTCTTTTTTTTAAAGTAGTTCAGATATTTTTTGTTAAAGAGAAACAGCCTTTTCCAAGGGCAAAAAAGTGAAACGAAGGTCAGAAGGAAGTTGGGCGAGGGCTTCTCACTCTTCAAACTCTTGCTCCAAAACATGGAAGTGAGGAAAGAGGCCCTCCCAGGGACTCTGGGAGCGACTGGCATGGCCGAGGGGCTTCTCTGGTGCGGTGGGTGGGGCTGCAGGCTATGCTTGGTCCCTGGATTGGTTTGACTGGGCTCCAAGTGCTAGTCTCCAAGGGCTAGTCAGTTGAGATGATTCTTGAGGCGGAGGGGGGGGCAGGGTGGGGATTAAATTAAGAAATGACACAGGGAGCCAAGGGTAGCTTGTTCAGTTGGATTCTGAATGACAATCAGGTAATAGTCTTTATCAGGTGCAACCATAATTTCATTTTTTTTTGAGTGAATTCGAAGGAAGTTCAGGATGTTCGGTGGGTTGATTTCATGCATGGTGCTCTGTGCCTTCAGGATGAAGTTGTGCATGAGATTGGTGTACTGTGTGGTGGTGGGGTTATCCATGGTGCTCTTGATGGGAATGCCTTCTGTGTTCACCACGATGATTCCCTGCACTCTTTTCTGGCTCTGAAGTAGCGTTAGTGTCTCCTCTACCTCTGCCATATTGGACTGACCTTGGAGCTCTGCGTCCTGTATTGTAAATTTGTGATCATCTCCTCAAATATACCCTTAGTACAGCCTGGCAGCTCTCCTCTGCCTCTCCTATCAGTTTATTTTTAAGTTCATGACTTTCTAACATTACCTATTTTGTTCAACAGTGTGATTTTCTATACCCCAGCACTGTGCATATTATAACCTCACCTCTACAGTGACACAAATGACACAGCCATAAAATAGCTTCCTTATATACGGGCGACCATTACCACAAACTGATGAATATTTGCAACAATTACATCGCCCTTTCTTTTTTTAAGTAGAGAAACTACCCTTCCTTATGATTTAGGGAGTTCTCAATCTGTACTTTTGATCTCTGTATGCTACCACTGGCATCCATCCCTTCTCTCCTATATAAATTATCCCCATAGCTTTTAAACATTTCTCATATATATAAAAAAAAAATCTGAAACCAAAGTAGAAAATCCTCAATGCACCATCCTTTTCCCGTGATCGCCTCATTGCAAAATAATTTAGAGTACACGAAAACGCTCTGTAAATAATAAAGTCTTTTAGATATCCAAAAGGCCAGATGTCTGATGACATTAATGTACAAAGTAATGTGAGTGACCCTCAACAAAGGCAGTTAGGCCTTTGCTTTTTGAACAGAAAGGGAAGGAGAGAATGAGTAAAGAAACTCCAGTGACTTGGGCATTGCTATGACTTAAATATTGTGTCCTTGAAACCTCGTGACATAAAGATACCCAGTGGGACAGCGCTAGGATGTGGGGCCAAGTGGGAAGTACCTTGGACATGGGAGAGTGGATCCCTCAAGAGTAATCAGTGCCAGTTCCTGGGAAGGAGCAGGTTTTCATTAGTTAGTCCCACAAGTGTGGATTGTTGTAAAAGCAAGTTGGCTGCCCACAGGTTTTTCTCACTTCCTCTTTGCATCTATCTGCCTCCCTTTTTGCATCTTTCTACCATGTTGTGACAGGATCATACTCCAGACCCATACCATTGGATTTTCCAGCCACCAAAATCATGACTTAAATAAGCCAATTTTCTTTGTAAATCTCTGTCTCAGTCAGGTATTTCTGTTAGAGCAACACCATGGGCCAAACAGACCCTGCACGTTACCATCAAAGACACCATCTCAGTCTGCTGTGCTGCGATCTGGCTGACCTCCTGCTCTACAACCAATATCAAGTCAAAATGAATTTTAAAGAAATACCAATAAAAAGCTTTGTGTTTAATGATATTTTATTGAAGAAAAGTAACAAGAACAGGATCATTTGTCACATTAAGAGAGTTGTGGAGTCACTTTCAGTCCTCTGGTCATTCACCTTTAACAGGGTGCAGTAGTGGTGTGCAGGAAGAAACAGTGACAGGGAGACACAGCTACCACTAGTGACAAATCTAAAAACTCTCAGTCTTTCAAGATCAGTGATCATTGTGGACAAGAGATCAGCTTCTTAAGTTTCTGTAAATTAGTTTCATCCCAATAACTTGAAGTGATGCCTCTTTATCTTTTATTGTCTAGGAGTATCAGTGGGGAGACTTGCATATGCTGGAGGAGGTGAAGAACTGTCTGGTGTGAAGGAGTTATTTGCGTACATGGCTGGAATAACCACGACAGGCTGGAAAGAATGTGTGGAAACAATCAATCATGTTATTGCAGTCAAAAGTAGTCTCCCTTGGCCCCATCAGAGTCAGGAATAAAGTAGGCTCCAGTAAGCCTACATCAGGATCTAACAGACACGTAAGTCTGTATTTCTCCAGCACAATCTCAGATTATTTGACAGGGAAGAGACTGAACTTACCCTGCTAGTGTTGGCCAATATTTTGCTGGCAAAGTGGGCTGTGGCACAAGCTATGCAGAACTCCAAGAGGGAGAAGATCAGCAACATGGCTGAAATTCCACTCCCAGAAACCTGAAATCAGAAGTAAATACTCTAAAATTTGGGCTCATCAGGAGGGTCTCACACGGGGCTTCAAAATGCTTCAAAATGTTACTAACTCACTGAGTGCTATCGCATCTTGTCGTCTCACTACATAATTATTTGTCCATTACCATCAAATGCTTACTTTAGGAAAATGTGTGTTCGTTTTGGATTTTCTTTAAAATGTGAGAAGATATTCCTTTGGCAAAGTTCTTATTTTCTTCAGAAGTATTTTTAAAAGATTTCTTTTCTTTGAAATGACTTTTTGTTTTTATAAATTGTTATCTACTTTTAAAAAAATAAATCAAGCGACATAGAAACTAAACGGTCATCTGAAATGTTGCTGCTTAGAAAGAATCAAAATGATCATCAGTGGCTGTGATAATTGATCTCTATGTAGTGAGAAGAGGCAAACAGGAGAATGGATGCATGGAGAGAGCAAGAGATAGGAAAAACTGAGTGAGCAAATGGGAATGAGAGCAAGAGAGTGATATATTCTCTTAAGAATGGAAATCTATTGGGACCAGCAGTTAGCGTAATGGCTATGTCGCTGGACTCCCACGTAGTCGACCGCGGTTCGTGTCCTGGACCCGGTGGCTTAAACCCATGCCGGGTGCGTGTGCGTGCGTGCCTAAGATCCTGAGAGGAGAATGGAGGAGAAGGGATTGCGGCGTGGCCATCCCCCCTGGGGGGTGTTTTCTCACTTTCTGTCTCTCTGTCTGTCTGGCAAGTGCACGTGCCCTATAGCAAAAAAATAAATAAATAAATAAAAAGCAAAAATCTCTCTCTGAAAAAAAAAAGGAAAAGCACCATATATATATACATGTAGGCTGAAAAGGAGGGAGAGATCGTAGCCTGATATTCCACATTTGGTGTGTTTTCTAACTGCACCCTCTTTCGCCTCCTTCCCTCTCATTGTCATGTGGCTTCTGGCAAATTTTATTTTATTTTATTAGTTTTTTTGCTATAGGGCATGAGTGCTCACCAGAGAGACAGAAAGTGAGAAATCATTCTTCTCCTCCCAGATAGCATGCCACAATCCCTTCTCCTCTACCCTCCTCTAAGGATTTTGGGCACACACACACACATCCTGCATGATTTTCAAGGTGCAGGATCTGGGACTCAACCCATGATTGGCCATGTGGGAATTCAGTGCCTTAACCATCAAGCCACCTGCTAGACCTAGCTCTGGCAAAATTAAAAAATAAAAAATAAATCTGCTAAATTGCACAGATTTTTTTTTTTTTTATGAAACCTATGGAGAAGTTGGAGTCATTATAAACCTAAAGTTTCAACATTTGATAGTATGAACTGATCATTTATTATGAAAAAATGATGTGACTGGCATTCTTATGTCTCTCTCATTGTTCCTCCCCTCTTTTTAGGACCCAATTTTTGGCAACTATTTCATGTTACACTCTTTTAGAGTGAAATGTGCTTGATTCAGTTCTGCAACTATCATTTTTCCAGTTATTCAGGTTTAGCTTACTATGTGGATTACTCTCCACTTGTCATTTACATAACAACTCTGCACCTGTCTCTCTGTGCATAGATTATTCTCTATCAGTGTTTAAATTGAATGATTCCCTTTTACAGAAATTTTTTTTTCTTCTGTGTCTGAATACTTTTATTTTCCTAAACCATTTGTTGGATTCTCCAATTCAGGAACATACATTTCCACTAGGTTGGATCAAATTTGCCTGTGGTTTGGGCCATGGTTTGTCCACCAGAAGTCTCTGTTTTGGAACTTGGTCCCAAATCAAATTCTGCTGGGAAGTGGTGAAACCTAGTGAAACCATGGAAGCACTAGCCTCACAGATGGATTAATGTAGACTCCTGAGAGACTGAGTTCTAGCTCTTGTGGAAAAGGGCCTAGTTCTCATTCTCAGGTTGTCATAAAAAGTGACTTCCCTAGGTTGCTCTTTTCCTGCCTGTGCCCATCATCTCTTCTGTTTTTGTCAGCTGTGTTGTAGCTAGCTGGATACAAGTCGCATACAATTGGAAATTCCAGTCACTGGAATTGTAAGCCAAATAAAACTCTACTTGCTTATAAATCATCCAGTCTCAGGTTTTTCTGTAAGCAACAATAGCAATCTAAGACACCTGCTTCCTCATATATTATCTCTCTAATTACTTTTTGCCTTTTTCTTCTACAGTACCATGGCTACACTTTTTCTCTCTACTACTTTTCTCTGAATCCATTATGTTTCTTGATGTGTGTGACTTTTTAAATAAAATATGTAATAGTAAATTTTGGTATTCAATTGATTTCTGTAGTGCTACAATATTCTTTTGTTTTAAAGAGAGATTTTTTATATAAGTTGCATGCAATCAGCAGTGAGAGACATAAAAACAGAGCTACACTTTTTCTCTCTACTACTTTTCTCTGAACCCATTATGTTTCTTGATGTGTGTGACTTTTTAAATAAAATATGTAATAGTGAATTTTGGTATTCAATTGATTTCTGTAGTGATACAATATTCTTTTGTTTTAAAGAGAGATTTTTTTATATATGTTGCATGCAAACACCAGTGAGAGACAGAGAAACAGAGAGCAAGAAATTACCCTCCCCTGGGGGAATGACGATGCCAAAATCCTTTCCCCTTAATTTTCCTCTTGAGATTTTGGGCACACATGCACATGCACCTGACATGAGTTTTAAGCCACCATGTCAGGGACATGAACCTTGGTCAGCTACGTGGGAGTCCAACAGTGTAACCATTATGCCATCTGCTGGTCCCTCTGCAATATTTTTTAAATTTCATTTTCTCATTTTATTATTAAGATTTTCAAAAGCACAATGTTCTCATGAAAAATCTTGTATTGATAATAGGGTAATATTGCTTCATTCTTTGAATTTCTCTAGTAAAAAATTAGATGTCTGTCACAGCCACATTCTTATTCTAAAATAAAAATTCATTCATTAACCTGATTATATTACTTATATAGAATTTTTGAGAGATTTTTGCTACAGGGCATGTGCACTCAGCAGAGTGATAGAGAGAGACAGAGAGACAGAAAGTGGGAAATCACCCGCTAGGGGTGATGGCTATGCTGCAATCCCTTCTCTTTCATTCTCCTCTTGGGGTTTTGGGCACACATGCACATGTGCCTGGCATGAGTTTTAAGTTGCCAGATCTGGAACTCAAATCATGGTTCATTAAATGGGAGTCCAGTGACATAACCATTTTGCCATCTGCTGATCCCTTATATAGAACATAAAATCTCTAAAAATAACTCCTGAGTGTGTTTAGGAGCCTTAGAGGTTGATCTAAATCCTTCCCCATTATCAATGTGATTAAGATTGAAAAGGGGGAATGAGACTTTCTCTAAATCTATGAGTAGAAGTAACTTATTTATTCTATGGTCCTAGAGATCACATGACTAGGGGTAGGGTTAGGATAGAAAAAAGATATTTTCTACTAGAGCTCTTGACAGTAATAAAACGTGAAAGCAAAAAGGCTCACTTTGTTGAATGAAAAGAGAACAGTAGTTTATGTGATACTTACCAGTGCCCAGTAGTTTATGGTAAACTGGTTATTGAGGATCATATCCAGCAGCAGCAGAATCACTCCAGGAAGAGTAAAGATAGCACTAACAATATTCATTCCTAGGCTGCCTTTTATCTGATGAAAGATGACAGCAAAAGTAATTTTTATGTTGTATAAGTGAAATTATATGATGTAAGAAAAATGAATGGTTCTCAATCTTTGAAATCCAGAAACAGTTTTTGTTGGTGTCATTTTTAGACAGGCTCTTGCTATGTCAGGATCGTTGTGCCTCATCCTCCCAGGTAGCTGGGACCTCAGCCTCAGGCTACAGTGTGCAGCCTCAGCCTGCGAAGTCGTAGCACCAATCATTGTGTACTACCGTGGCTGCACATGGAAATAATTTTGTGTTTGAAGTTGAAATTATTTCTGTTCTGCTCTTCTGGGGAGTTACCCTCAAAATTACTCTGTATGCAGTTTAGATGAAGAGCACATTGAAAAAGTTATAGGAAACATAAATAATATAAGGCAGAGGGACCAGAAGGTGGCATGATGAAGGTGCTAGATTCCCACATGGCCACCACAGCTCAAGTCCTGGACCTGGTGGCTTGCTTTCACACTTTCTCTCTCTCTATCTCTCTCTAGTCAAAATTAAAAATAATAGTAAATAAGATTAAAAATATATATATATGGCAGAAACTCATTATATTTATCTAAAATCTTTATGCATAATAACTATACTTTCTTTTAATTTGTTTATTTTTAAATTTTTATTTATTTATTACTATTATTATTATTTACTTTGCACTTGGAAATAATTTTGTGTTTGAAGCTGAAATTATTTCTGTTCTGCTCTTCTGGGGAGAATTTACCTTAGGTAAATTTCAGGGCATATGAGCACCTCAGAGAGAGAGTGGGAAATTAAAAAAGCAAGCCACCAGGTCTGGGACTCAAACTCTAGTCGGCCGTATGTGAATTCAGTGCCTTTAACTATCATGCTACCTGATGCCTCCCATACTTCGTTTTTTAAAAACAAAAGATCAAATAAACTTTTAATTAGCTTTTTTTTTTCTTTTGGTAACGGTACTGTGTTAAATTATTTAAATATATTATCCTATTTAACTTTACAGCCATTGCAGTAGGCAGGACTATAACATCTGATTGTATAGAGGGGAAAGCATATACAACAAAACTTTGCTGATAAATTTAGGAACTAATGAAAACCTTGATGTTTCTCTAGGGATTTAGGTAAAGAACGCTAAATTTAGAAGATATCCTTCAGACGTTTTGGGGCAAAAGCGTATTGGGCAGATGAAAAAACTTTCTCATTTCTACTGTAAGATTTTGACACGCACCAGAATAATTGTGAAACCACCTTCTCAGCGGGATGACTACAGGGCGGCACATTTAGAGTTGTTTAGAATGTGCTATTGCTTCAGTACACCTGAGTTACCTGAAGGCCTCTAAAGGACTCTTAGAAAAATTACCTTAGGTAAATTTCAGTGACTGTCTTCTTTAAAAAGAGCCTATGCTCAGACAATCTCAGTTAGAGGGAAGGACCCATTAAAAAATGCAGAGAAAGGATGTTTTATTTATATTTATTTATTTCAGTTAAAAGTGGCAAATAGGTGTTTCTGACTCCCAGATTCTTCTCTGGACTTTTGCTAATGCACTGACCGACTAAACCTGGAAACCTGCAGGTAAAGCTTAACCAACCCTTACCTTCACTGCATCCCACCCTGGGAGTTCAGGAGTCGGGATGCAGAACTCTGTGATTTCCGAGTAGCAAATGATGTGGCCCATTCCTACCCAGCCCACATACCATGGAGGCAACCAACAGAATGGGAAAAGAGCTCCATTTGCATTTTTTAATCCATCTTCTCAATTTTCCTCCCCAAGAAATTAAACCAGTCTTTAGAAAGGTACAAAAACTAGAAATATTGAAACTTACCAGACAAGTGGAGGAGTTACTGGATGCTGATACAGAGAGAGAGCCAGAAACAATGAACTGTTGAAATAAACAAAATTACTTGTGAAATAGTGGATTTTTTGATAATGCCTAGGAACTTTTCATATGAAAGATTGGTATATTTGTACTTAGTTTCCTTCTCAAAATTTTCTCTCATATCTCTCAATTTTCTGAAGGAACTCTCAGAGATGTGTCATAGAATTCCTTTTTTTTTCCTCTTTAGTTTCTTGTATCTAAAGCTCATTCTCTGCTTATCATCTATGAGCTTTCATTGTAGTGATTCCTGAACTGACTGCTCAATCTCTCCTCACTGTCAATAGTGTGTGTGTGTGTGTGTTTGTATTTATTTTTCAGATTTTGGCCATAGGACATGTGTGCTCACTGGAGATATAGAGAGAGATACAGAAAGAAATGAGAAATCACCCCAGTGGGGATGGTCATGCCACACTCTCTCCTTGTTCATTCTCCTCTCAGGATTTTGGGAAAACACACACACATGACTAGTGTGAATTTAAGACTGCTGGGTCCAGAACTCAAACCACAGTAGGCCATATGGGATCCAGTCACTTTAATCTCCATACCACATGCTGGCCTGTCTGTTGCATATTTTTAATCATGTTTCTAATCATCTGCTTTCTCACTTTCTACTCTCTCTCTCTATATATATATATATGTGTGTGTGTGCGTGTGTGTGTGTGTGTGTGTGTGTGTGTGTGTATTTCTATCTGAAATGGAATGGGACCTAAAAGGACTTGCTAATGACTTGACCAGAGCAAATTTTTCATATGGGTTTAAGCTGCAATTTAAAATGGGGAACAATGGCTCCCCATTTTATGCCCAGACAAAGCCGTTATTTTTCTAAATTCTTCATCTTTGAGATGCAGGGCTTATTAAGAAGTTAGTGTAAATAGGCTGGAGTAAATTATACTTTAAAACTGATAATGAGGGAACCAGCAGTTAGCATAATGGCTATGTTGCTGGACTCCCACGTAGT